CCCCAGAATGGTCAAATGCATTGCTCTCAACGAGCAGACGAGTTCCCGGCATCAATAACACTTCATCTTCGCTGGGATAGTTCGTGTAGCCCGCGATGTTCTTTCCATTGACAGCTTCAATCAAGAAGAGAGTAGAATTAAAATTGACGAAGACTTTTATCATATTGACAGACAACGAACATGAGCTCACACCCCACCAAGTCCATTCTTGGTCTTTCGTAAACTTTTTGCTGAAATCGCCGGATATACCTCGCCAAATAACTTTCTTTAGCGTGGGCAATTTCTCAACTGCTGTGTTGAAGAGTTTGAGAAATAGAAACCAAGGCTTGGCTCCAGTTCGATCTTCCGATCTCAATGCTTGATTCAGTACACGATAAAGACTTTCTTCACCCCATTCCATGGTGTAGAGATACACAGCTGCTGACTCATCACGAGTGAGACCATGTTCTGATGGAAAATGGCAATGTAGTTTGGCCACTTTGATGTAGCGAGGCAATTGGTCGATTCGATGCAAGATAGGCTTCAAAGCTTCTTCAAGAGAAACAGATGGGCAGCTCCAATATCCATATATTGGCGGAAGCTTTTTGGTATCGAAATCAATATCAGTAAATTGATTCATTATATTTCATCAATTCTTCAATATTCTATTAGTACCACGACGTTATCTCTTTGAAGTGAACTTTCACCAATTAGTTGCTTGCGTCTATGGACAAAACGATGTAGTGTATTTGATGGTATAATTATTTGATGTATTTGATTTCTAGACAGGCACTCCAAACAAATTGGAATTAATTGCTTTCCAACGCTGAAAGAAGTCAAGTGGAAAGAAAAAAATAACCAAATAACAAACATAAATGATAATGAATGTGCGCATGTGCAACTTTTTCGTTATCTTCAATAGTGAGTGAATGAAACATTTATTTTCACACATTTAGATCGCGATGATAAAAGTTCAATGACGTTCTAGCATGAAATCAGTAAAAACATGAGGATGGCATACTTGGTTGGAAATAGTCGACTGCATCTTGACTGACTCGAAATTACATCGTCATGAAGAGCGTCAAAAATCGATATTGCGCGAAAAAATGAAGTCATGTGACATATATAAAAGTAAGAAACTCGTTTGCTTGTTTCGAGTCTAGCAATTCATAATAGTTACCAACATAGCTGGGCTAATTGTGTCATTGATGATCTTCAACCGATGCATCTAACTGAAAGATAGAAACATCACATAGGAGAAGGAAAAGCGCTAGCCGGATGGGTTAAGGGCCTTCTTAGAGGTAAACTGTTTTATTTTTCATCCGGTTTCAACCAAAATGTTAGAGAATGTTAGTTCTGGCTAGTATAGATTGTGGATAAAATATCCCCTCGAATTTCCAAACCACTCATAAGTGATAGTCGATTCATTAGTCAAAACTAGCTTTTACGTGGATAAGATTTTCAAAATGAGGATACCAGCTATAACATGTCGAGGTCGCTCTTAAATTGTGAAATACACTGAGATCTAGATCGTAATAGAGCCTAATTTTTTAATTTCTCTTTATTTATTTGAAAACAAATTTTCGAAAAATTCTAAAATTTGTGGCCAAAAATACAGCTAATTAAAATATGTAAGTGTCTACTGGATTAAAGTCGTCTGCATCCTGCCCTACGTCATAAAAATCTTCATCTTCTTCTTTTCATGCTTCTTGTTTTTTTTTGTGTCTTAGGTGTTGCTGTTGTAATGTTTTAATTCCTTCTTCTTCTAGTTGTTGTGGTATTTTGTGATCAAGTATTGTTTTTGTATTGGTATTGCAATAGTGATCTTGTTCTTCAATTTAAACACGATGAATTTGTAGAAAATAAAAAATAAAATAATCTTGCTTTTATGTCGTTGTATTTTTATATTACATTGCGGAGTTCTGACACAACATTGAATACAATCAAACAAATTTGTTGTTGCATTTGTTTTTCTAAGCTGTTAATTATCCTTGTTGGTTTCAGTTTTGCCTATCGCCGATAATATTGTAATACTTTTATTCGATAAAGGAAGTCGTAGTTTAAGAAAAGAAAGATTTAATCACTTAATGTCAAATATTCTCATTAATCCACATCCACATTCGACAGGAATACTGCTCCTATTCTCGATGTACGTTTCTGGCCATTTTCTCCAGGCGTGAGATGACAGCAGGGCACAGTAGTCTGAAAAATAGGTCGTAGCATTTAAATGTCTGCCGTATTTGAGAAGCGGAATCATTAACCTGAAATATTCGATGTCTCTTACAATGTATATGGAATAAACAGTTTTTGAAACAGTGACTAATGACAGAATTAATATGAAAAGATCTTTAATAGAATTCAAATCAATCTCAGGACAGAAATATCGCGATGAAAAACCGAACGATAATGATTTTATCGTGTTGTTAAGCTGTTATGACGATAAGTCGAATGATCAATTCGATAGATTATCAGACTATCCTGACATTAATCAACACGTAGGTCGACGTTAAAATCTTTAGACTAAATTAAAGACGACGAAGAAATATTCTAAACAAGATGCAATTCGTCAGTATTCACTTCGATGAATATCATCAAAAAAATTCACTTGTCGACATTAATTTCAATATGAATCCCCATGCATTCTTTTTCAGTCAATTTCGACAGTTGGATAATGAATCCATAGGCCGAGATAATCATCAAATGAGTCTTTTCGAATTGTCTTTCAATATTCACGTTTAAGGCAGAAGGTACGCATCACTTCGAATCCTTTTCAAACTTTGTTTCATAAATCAGATTGAGAACTGTTGTTCTATCAAGATCAGCTGGCGAAGAATCGATTTGAAAATAATTCCACGACAAAAGTCGAAACAACAATCGTCATTCAATCAACGGGAATCTATCAAAATGTGATGAAGTTTTCTTGTCATACAAATCTATCTCCGTATCAATTAATCTCGTTTCGATCAAAATTGTTTGTTCAATATCAATGGAAAAGTATCGTTTGAAGTTTGCTGTTGCAGAATAATTGGTTCGACATGATATCAGATTTCTCTCAATTCGATCGAATATTTGGCTGCAAGCCACCTGAAGATAATAGTCAAGTGAAGAAGGGTATTTTGTGATAGTGGCACTATTTCAGTCTCAATTACAATGCCCTGTCATCTTCTAGAAACATGGCTAGTATGACTGTCTGCTACTATGTTACAGAATAGTGTGCATCAATTTTCCTTGATATTTGTTCTTTTATAAATTCTTTTGAAAATATCAGATCAGTAAAAGAGTTTGGAGTCTCACATAGTCAAACACTGCAAGATGCTACGCATCATTGCTTATTTAGGTAGATAAAAATATTCCAGTGTTCTGCGATTCACGTCGATGCACAGTAGTAATGCTCTGAAAAAAGCTGTCTCAGCTTTCGTCTATACTAGTCATTGATCGTAGCAGCAATTCACTGACATGTGGTATTCATAATTCGTTTTTACCATCATACTTGACTGTACTGTTCTCACAGACAGAAAGTATTGTCATCTCAAGATCGACTATGAACGGATGATAGAGTTGAGGATCTCATTGGAATTCGTATTCTATCTCTTTCAGTTAGGGAACTAATGTAAGGTACTATGCAGCATTGCTTCGATACGAAGATGCGAAACTTCTGTGTCGTAGCAAGACTGAAAAGTCTTAGCCGAGCTGCGGTGTACTATGGCATCAGTTGATACAAGGCAGCGCAACATATCGGAATACCAACTGAGGGTTCATCTATACTAGTCAGTCGTCATGACACTTTTGTCAAAATGCATGAGATTAGTGTTGATAAATTTATTCAAGTGTCTTTCTGTGAATGATATATTGTTGACGGTTATTCTGTCGTCCCTTTCCTTTGTTTGAATACAGCCTATTGTTTTGTCTCAAGCCTCTCATAGTTTAATGTACTGATCATGGGTTCGTTATTCGTCTTTCTCTTTTTTGATGCAGTAATTCTTTTCTTTGTATTTTTTGGATCGAACATTATGCCAGTTCGAATGATGGCTGTTTCTGTAGAAGTGATGATGACATGGCTTCATTTAAGACGTTGCTATGAATTATTGTTCGAAGGACCACCTTCGTGATAGTTAGAGAGAGACAAAAGGCGTTGATACTTCTGTGGCATACATACTGATTCGTTTCAGGTTTCTATCATGTTTGCTTTTTAGTTTATAGTCTGTGTTGTTTTTCACATTATCATATAGTTCTTTCTAGGACATCGCTCATTTTCGCTGACAAATGTGGTTGTTCATCTTGGTTGGTTTGGTTATTGTCTGAGCAATTCCTTTATTTACATTAGAAAGGCAGTTATTCTTGTGGATCTTCCGAAAGCAATTTTCCTTTCAATCAATCACTTCTTTTGCGTTTCTCTATCTCTTACTCCTTTTTTGTACGCTATGCTCTCATCAAAATTAAAGATGCACTTCGTTCTGAACGATAAACAATTTGTGTGTGACAAGTCAATGAAAGTTGTTAAAACTAATAGATGAAAAAGAATCTACTGTTTATGGTGAATGTGGTACTGATATTTTTCTGTCAACAGTATTTAAAGTAGATGATTTTGCCAGCAAATAATATTTACGAAGCCAAAAGAGAACAAACAAGTAAGTCTGATAAACGGCCTTAGTCAGAAAATACGCATTGACTAAATAAATTTTACTGCATTGAACAAAGACAACAAAAATTAAGAGATATAGGCTGCTGGTATTGGTACGGTGTGGGATGAAGCAGGAGTTCAGACTTGGGCAGAAATGTGGATGAGAGTGAAGAAGGTTGGAACCTTCTGCTCACGAACACACATACTCAACATCAGATTCAAAGCAACGACAGAAATATAGTTCATGCACAGTTCCACAATCTGATACAGTCACAGCCACACACCCACGCCCCAAAACGGATCGTGAAAGTTTTTTTCTCAATCGGTGGTAGTCGCACTAATTTGTAATATTTCACAGTAATCGTACTAAGTATGAAACTCCTACGGTCTAATTACACTGCTAAAGCCATAAAGAGAACCAGCCGTCCTTATATTCAACTCCGAACGAGTCCTCTGCCAATGCACGAGTATTATCAATCAACCATTGTCGGAGATTTTTCTTTGCTTCGTCTGATGGTGAACCGTCGACACTTAACGAAGGAAGTTCTTCACTATTCCAAAATGTTAGTAGTGTTAGTGGAATAGAATCAATGAGCATGGTCGAATCTTTAAGAACAAGGACGAGATGATTAAGTCGTCTAAACACTTGAGCGATTTGCTTTAATGGATCCGATTCAATACCAGTCCAGTCACAGATGTCCAGACGAATAATTTGTTGTTCAAAAAGATCACAAATATGTTTGTCATCGAGTAGATGTATAAGACAATCGTAGTCAACACATAAATAGTTGAGATTAGGTGAAGCATCGATCAAAGAGCAGAGTTCACATATTCCACACACCTGAAGTCTCTTGAGATATGGTAACCAGAGGACACTTTTTGCAGTGTCAGGCATCCTAGAAACTATGAAAAGAATGATTAAGCCATTGAATTCAATAATGTTTTGTAAATTAACGGAAGGGCTTTTTTATTTTCGAAAACTCTAAAATGCGTATTTTTTTTCTTCTGATTATCTTTAAGCATAGAGATAGAATTCGCTCAATGGAAAAGCAGAGTATTACAAAAGATTTGAAAGAAGTAAGAAACGTTAGAATCTTGAACGACTTTGATGTTATAATTGCAAATTTTATTTATTCTTACCAAGCTATTTTTATTCGATTTTTCTTCAACACATCTTACTTTTTTCCTAGTTTTGAATAACAAGTCAATATCACTCATTTGATTCTGAGAAAATTGTTTTGATGTAGTTCAAATTAGTTCAAACTTTCGTCTTCTACTTGAAACATAGAAGGAACGAACACAACTGTAGTTTTTAGTTTCTACACTTTTATCTTTGTTGCCTTTCGTAAAAGAATATGAAGTATGCTTTTAACCGACATCTTTCATCTACATGCTAATGATTTTAGTTAATGATGCTTATTTAGACAAATACATACGAATTTCCGATTTGTTTTTAATGTCAATTTCCAGTGTCCGAAGTCGACGAAAGTGTTGCAATATCAAAAATATCTCAGTAAGTGATGTTACATCGTAGATAGATAGTTCTTTCACTTGCTGCATATATTTCCATCCTGGTAGCATTTGTTTACCAATTGATGCTGTTAGATTGAGCGAACGTAAGTTACAAGGAATAGTGTAAAATAAAATACGATGTTCCTCTTCATCTAGTAAATATTTGATTGAGGGATGAACTGTCCACGATTTAATAAATTTACCCGTGTCATTTTCATGTTCAGACGAGTAGTACCGAATGAATAAATGAATTTGTTGAATTGTAGGAGGCAAGATAATGGTTATATCATCAGTATTGATCAAGCGTTTGTCCTTCGTGCAAAGATTGAGTGTCAGCTTCTGCAAAGAAGGCATCAAATTGAATACATCAACAAGTTCATCGAGTGTCCAGAAGAGATCAGGTGAATGTAATTCAAAATCAGTGAGATAAACGAGAGATACTAGATTAAGAAACTCATATCGACAAGTTGAACTTTCTGACATCTCGTTGAGATACACATGTAAAGAATTCACATTTGGCATCAATTTGAAAAGGTGAGGCAACATTTGACGTTGTCTCAAGTTAATTGTCAATTCTTTAATGTTGGGATAAGAAGCATTGTCATCCTGATGAGATAATTTCAAGGAAATCGAGTAGTGATCGAACGATATTGATACGAGTTTATTATTATTGGCAGTCAAAATTTTGGTAAGTAATGTTTCTTGTGCATTACCTTTAAGGAACTGAATGTCGAGTTTGACAAGTTCCGAAAGATCTTGAAGAGTATCAAGAAATGGCATAAGTCTCTCGCATGTGAACCATTTCAATGCCAAACGTTGCAGGTGTGGAAAGGTATAGGATGTTGGCAAGCCAAAAAGAACAGCGTGCGCTTTAGACGACATCATTGTCTCCCAATTATCATTTAGTAGAAGAGATCGAACACAAGAAGATATCTGGAGTAAGATTTGTGAGACGACATAGTTAAATCTCTGATAGGCATAACCAGTTAAATATAAATAACGATAATAGTCAGCTATTGTTCTAGTGAGGCGTGTATTCAACCGGGAAAAAGAGTAGATAACATCGACTCTCCGAAGATATCGACAGACGCATAATATTATTTCATCTGGCAACATCTCGAAAATTGTCAAATGAACATTCATCTAGAATAATGATTACTGATGTAGATTTTGTTGCATGATTAAGAGGAATATGATTCGAAATGATTCAGCTAACCTTGAGTCTGTTTAGTATAGCTTGTATGCGATAAAAAAACAGTTGTTTTTTTTGCGTTGCTTTTACTGCCTTACACAATCATCGGCTTGTTTTCATCTACATAAGTAGTTGAGGAATGGTAGAAAGAAGAACGAGTCGAGCCAGGATGAAACAGTCTCTTATTTGAGTTCCATCAAACCTATGGATAATTTCCTATAGTTGTCGCTTCGCACTAATGATAAAGAGAACAAGATTAGAAGTTTTTATCGTATTATCAAATGAAGAAAAAATTAGAGTTTAAGAAGCGTAGCAGTTGAATAGCTGGACGGAGAAATAATTTGTTTCACTTCTGTAGCTATGGAGCTCTAATGTGTTGCACATAATTAGTTGAATGATCTTGGGAACGAGTTGATTTTTGTCAACATAGTTTAAAACATATTTTAATATCAAATTTTCTTACGATATGTTAGGTTCACATTTGAGTTTCTTTTAGGGCCAATTCATCCAGAAAAATGTTCCAATATCAATTTCCCTAGTTTCTAGTATAACTCAACGAGCTCTTTAAGGTGGTGAGAACCATTCCTCGATACATATAATAGTAACTGAGAAAAGCTAAGAGTACCAGATTTGGTTCCATTAAATGAATTTTACAAAAAAACTATTTTAGGTCGATTCACTCATAGAATGTTCCAACAAAATTGTTCCATATTCCAATTGCAGCTTAATGAATACTATCATGCAGTGCTAACCGCGTCTCAATACCATGCTTGTATCGTATGAAATAGTCAATTTACTGGACCAGCAAATACTATGCCAAATGACGAATCAGACCGGCCACTCAACACTTTTATCAGAGAGGAGCATGTTATCGAATGTGGTTTACACCACTGAATAGAGCTCATTGAGTTATAACAGGACAAGTGAATACATTAATTGAAACATAGTGTTGGGAGAATAGATCCAGGAAAATATCGGCTGAAAAAGTAATTCGGCTGATATCTATAATTAATATGAAAGATTTATTAGATAACCGAAACCCGTAAGATTTTCGACTGATGTTATGAACGGCTTCAATGCAAAACTTGCTTCACTAGTTAGAAATTTCTATCATGGACAATCATCATGTACCGTAACATCGACAAAGTGTACCGCGTTGAATAGATAAGAGAAGTTTTCGATCACACAGGAAGAAAATGTCTCAATGAAGATCAATCATATGTCAAGTTGATTAAAAATATTTAATATCGAATATGAAACAGTTTGTTTTTGTCAATATGGATTTAGTTTACTGAATAATTGTACACTTACTAAGAAAGTACATAAAAAAAACATAATCTACTAAGATACCTATCACCAGTAAAAAGTCTGAAGCACAGAAGAAAGACGGTAAATGAGGTTTTGCTGATGTTGCAGTACAAAAACAATAAGATTCCGAAAACTGAGATAGTAGAATGATAGAAGCGAATGGATAATAAAACTTCAGACATGTAACGGGTGCATTAACATATTTTTCTATGGGGATAACACTGTGATGTCTAATAGCTCATTCATAACAAGTTGTATATCCAATTAAAGTGTGTCGAGTGGCACTTATCAGTACTAAATAGTAAGTGTTATGAAAACTTCTCAGTATCAAACTTCGGAAATTTCAATAATTTCACGCTCGATTGCTATGGAAAATTACTTTTATGAAGCAATGGAAACTAGATCTGAATCAAAATGATGACTGTCACAAAGTCATTTTTATTTGTTAAAGTTCGATTAATATAATCCGTAAATAGTATGACGAGAATTAACATTCTTTACAACATGAATACGTGATGAATGGAAAAATAAGAGAGTTTCAAATAACTCAATGTTCTTTTCTATGTTTCTCAAAATGTCTGAGTTGTGTTGTTTTCAGTGTTTTTTCAGAATATATATTATGTTTTCATCTATGACAGTATTTATTTACTCAACCTTATTTTTTATTAATGCTTCATCATTGCCAGCTACATTTAGATCAGTTGGATTTCCCAGTCAGGTGTCATTTTTCTTAAAAACTGATGTTGTTGTCTTGAAGAAAATATCGAGTCATAGTTCCTCGCAAGTATGATGCTTTGTCGTGCACAAATACTACTTCATCGAGATTAATTACATTTTCTTCATTTATTGGAAACAGTATTATCTGCAGCATCAGAAATGTTTCATAAAAATACTGAACGGTTCAATATTCACCTTAATCTTTAATGATATAATGTTACTTTTTGCTTTGGAAATTACAAACATGTCTATGGACGCTTAGTTTTTAATTATTGTGCGATGCTATTCATTATTTTCTATATTTTCAATACTTTTTGTTCAAACTCCATCATTCTGATAGTTTGGTCTACACACATAGCCTAGACAGAAAATTCATCTGATACGGCAAGATATTGAAAGTCCTTTTCAATCCAATCTCTCAACCAATTGCAGAACTACAATCGATTGAAAATATGCGTTTCTGTTTTTAAACGCCTTGGAATAATATGAAAAGGCTTTAGTCTTACTTTAAAGAAGTAACTATCGATCATTTTTGGAACAATATATTCATTTTACTTTTCTGAAATTTCTTTCGCTATAACATTAGAACTTTTGCTTTGTTTGTCACTTGCACTGACGATGAACTGCCTACCTGCTTCTAATAATTTAAGTTTATGACCACATTCTGCGTCATCAGAAAAATATGTTTCCTATCCCTTTCCCACTACTCTGTAACAAATCGAATAGTTCATTGAATTTTCTCTGAAATCCACCGACGAATAATAAAGCTTGCGAAAAGTAAATAGGATAGAATTTTCGAGAATCTTCAACGGTACCTGAAGTATATGACGAATATATGGAAGAATTTATAACCAATCACAATAGTCTCTAAGATTTACGAAAAACTTGAATGAATTGATATTGAGCGTCATCTCTGCTTTTAAAGCTTCATACCTAATTCGATACTGACGAGGGAAGATCCCCAACTGATCAATCTCTTGTGTGTTGAGACTATGTGTATTATGTAGGTACAAATTAATTATGAATACTCTAAAAAGAGTTCGGGCTGCTAGCTTGGCGCTACGGAGATACTGCACTTTTACGGTATGTTTTTAAATAAATGCCGTGGTCCCCCTCAGGAAAACCAGAAAAAATGATTTTCGAATTTCGACGTGAAGCTTTACATAGAAACAGGTCTTACTGAGAATAGTGTTTTGTGATAGTTTCAGATCTTGTCGCTGTTCCTATCCGTAGATACAACTATGGTAACTTCATTCAGATACACCAGAGGCTTTCATGTTCTCATTTCAGAATAGTAACAACGACAAGATCTGAAACTTTCCTAAAACACTATTCTCAGTGAGACTTGTTTCTATGTAAAGTTTCAAGTCGAAATTCAAAAGTCATTTTTTCTGGTTTTCCTGAGGGGGACCACAACATTCATTTAAAAACTTACGGCAAAAGTGCAATATCTCCGTAGCAATACGCTGGTAGCCCGAACTTTTTTCAGGGTATTCATAACTCATTTGTGCCTGCATAATGCACATAGTCTCAACACAAAAGAGATTGATCCGTTAGGGACATTCCCTCGTGAGTCGATAAGACCAAAAATCAGATCAAAATCAGTCAAAAAAGATATCAAACTAAAAGATATAAATCTAGTTTTTTGAATAGATGCTCGAAGACGATAACCATAAAGAGTATAGGTGTGAAAGGGAATGAAGAAAAAAACTAATATCCACTCCAACACTCTTCTTCGCACATTGAAATTAAAACAAGACAATGCATTTTTTCGGGTCTATCATTATCAACAATTTAGCTGTTGATCAACAAGTTTTCAAAAGAAGCATTTTCAACCATTCTTCGATTTTTAGGCTGGCAATTTTGCGTTTGAATCCATGTAAACTCTTATAGCCACATGTTTTGGAAAGCAAGTGATTCGTTGCATAAATCCACCAGAATTGTTGGCCTCATTGCCAGCATCTTCAATTATAATACGCTGCATAAGCCGTGTAATAGCAATTTTGAACTCAAACAAAGCCAAATCTTGACCGATACATGTTCGATGACCACCACCGAATGGCATGTAGGCGTACGGAGTAGGATATTTGTCTTCATCAAGGAATCGCTCAGGAAAAAATTTCATTGGATCGATCTGCCAATAGCGTGAGTCTCGGTGCATGTTCTGCGTCGCAATCAAAAATATGTCACCCTTTTTGACGATAATATCATTGATTACATCATCTCGTGTTGCTTGACGAACGATTGCAGCAGCAATCGGAGCATATCGTAGTATTTCTTTCATGACACATTCCACGTAGACTAACTCGTCCAAATCTTCGGGTGTAAGTATAGCATCGGAAGTTAAACCATGACGAAGGAGCTCATCTTTGATCTTCGCTTGTACATCTGGATGTTTTGACATTAAAAAAAAGAACCACGATAGTGCTGCTGATGTTGTTTCGAAACCGGCAACCATCGACAAAGATACTTCATCGAAGAGTTCAGTAGGACTTAGCGACGCTTTTGATGAACCCGTTTCTAATCGATCATTTTCAGCTGCAGCCACCATCGATGCAATTAGAGTTTTGGGTTTGGCCAACAGTTGTTGTTCTTCACATTGTCGTTTTTGTTCCTCATGAATAATACGCATGACATAGTGTCGAAGAATGCGCAAAGCACGTTGAAATTTCGAATCGAGTGCTAAACGCAATCGTGCAATCCATAAAGGGATAGCAGCCATCAGAGCGAAACGATTGGCACACTTGATAACATCGTTAAATGCTTGCCGAAGAGTGTCACCATCCGTCGAAGAACCTTTTTCTAAATCATAATCGAAGCCAATTATGGCAATGATGTTCAAAAGTACATGTTGACACTTGACAACAAGATCGGTATGAATCCAACCATCTTGGTGTGAAAATTCTTTCTCAACAAACTGATCGATACAGTGCACGATTTTATCGAAAAACGGCAATGTTTTGTTCTTTCGGTACATTGGCAACATGATGCGAGAATGACGCTTGAAAATATCACCTCGGACGGCAAGTAAAGCTGTAGGGAAAATCAAGCTGAAATTACGATTAGTTGTTTCAGATATTTCATAGGTGTTTCGATCGGTCAAAATGTGACGAATGTAGTCGGTGCAGGAAACAACAGTGATACGGCCCCGTCCGAGTTGAATTGCAAATAAATCACCGTATTTTACTTTGAGTTTGGCAATTGATTCATGAAATGCTCCACGACCCGCAGTCCAGATGATACCTAAAAGAGTCAGTATGTCATTGATCGGGTTCAATATTTATGTTGCCGGCAAATTAGAGTGCACAGACACACAGAGAAATAAAAGACGAGAAGAACATACCAAAGCTGCTCTTTACATACTTTCGTCAAGGTTTTGCTTAAGAAAAATGAAAAACAGAATACTAGCCTATTAGCCATTGAGTTGGAATCCGTCGTGGTTTAGTTGGGTTACGTTCAATGGTAGAAGAGGAAGACTTGAAATAACAATAGACAAGGAACAAAAATATGACCAGAATCGCAAGCAATGTTGAAAGAAACATGTCTGCAATGATTGTATAAGTACTCAAAATGAAAAATGATGGAAGCTGCTTCAATAAAAAATTTAATTTCTTCTCACCATAGGATTCCAAGAAAGAAAGGAAGAGAAAAAAAATCAATGTCATCATTTGAGTTTTGTTTAGACAACACACTTGAAGCCACATGTCAGTGTTTCATCTTCGAGAACAATTATTTGTGTGCGTCATTATTGTCAATACAAACATTTCGAGCATATGTATGTGTGAGAAAGAATTCGCCACGAACTCCGTCTAATTTCTAGAACTCTTGAGAGCTAACGAGCAATTCAAAACAAAGGCTTAATCAAATACCGTAATACTGCTGTTGTGACAATGAGTAGCGATTCTGTGTCTATCGATCGAAATGCTGTTGCGTTTGAACAATAAATCGACCCTAAACCTAAATTTCGACTTTCAAATGTATCGATAAGTGATAGATTTTCATCAGATTCACGGCTACGTAAAACAGAATGCTGTGGATGTCTGCCATTTTGTGGAACTCACGTATATTTTCGAAGAAAATAGTGAGTGTAAGTTTTAAGTTCGAGGTTTTGCGGCTCCCCCTCCCCCACCCCCCTCCAGTGGCGGATTCAGAAAATCAATGAGGGGATGGCGGTTTGCTGAAGAGGGTGGCGGTCATGGTCAAAAACCAGTTTTTGAAGCCTATTCAAGGCAACACCAGTGCTTTTGTTTTTATTTCTGCTGATGAAAAATG